TCATCATCATCATCTTCATCGTCATCATCTTCGTCAGCAGCAAGTTTTACTTCTTTCTGTGGAACCTTGCTTCCACCTCCAGGGGCAGATCGTTTTCCAGACATACTTAAGAGTTTCACGTCCTCTTCCTCTTCTTCTTCTGACTCTGCATCTTCCTCCACAGTTTCTAAGTGCTATCCACTAATATGCACAGGCCCTGAACCTCACTTCAACCTTAAGACCACAGGTGGTGCTATTTCAAAGCTCCCAAGGGAAACCGTTGGCTGTACAGACATTTTCAGTGTTGCCAGTATTACTTTAATTGGACTGCCTTCATAATCATTGCCTCTGCTTCAACAATGTGCAATTCATCCTTTGCACCAGCCCCTAAACTAACTGTTCTTAAAGATAACTGGTGTTCACTTTCATCATTGTCCACTTTAAAGTGATAATCTTTGTCGGTTTTTAGTTCACAACCGAAAAGATAGTTCTGGGGCCTCACGGGGCTCATGTCCATGTCCATCGAATCTTCCATGGGGTGGTGCCACGCACTTGGGTTGGTGAGAAGGCGGATGGAGGTAAACGACTACGGCTCCCGAAAACAGCCACGCAGGACGGAATCACTCCAGGGAGCACAGTGTGATTTTAAAGCCACCAGGTCTGGGACTTGAAACAGTGGTTGGCCATATGGGAATCCAGCGATGTAACCACTATACCACCTGCTGGCTCCAATTGTATCTCTTTAAAACAAATAAAATAGGTAAGAATGAGATGATATGGAAGATCTGAGAAGAAGAGATCGTAATGACTGAGTGTGATCTGAGAATAATATAAGAGATGTTATTATTTATGAGCATTGAAAGAAATATTCTTTGTTAGCATTTTTACTAATACTGATTATATCATGTACATGTCTGTCTTTTATTATTATTATTATTATTTATTTACTTTTAATTTTTTTTTTTTTTTGCCACAGGGCATATGAACTTGCTTGAGAGAGAGAAAGACAGACAGACAGTGAAAGGGAAAGTGATAAAATTACCCCTAAGGAGGATGGCCTCACCACAATCCCTTCTCTTCCATTCTTCTCTTGGCATTTTGGGGACACATGTACACGCACCTAGTGTTAGTTTCAAGCCACTGGGTCTGAGACTTGAATGCAGTTGGTCATCCCGGAGTCCAGTGCCTTAACCACTACACCTCCTGCTGGCCCCCACTTCTCTCCTCTTTGAAGAACCAGGTCTAACGGCCGACAGGTGGTGGTTCAGGTACTGGATTCCTACATGGCTGACCACAGGTTGATTCCCAGACCTGGTAGCTTGCTTTCTCCCTTTCTGTCTCTTTTCTCGGGTCAAATTTAAAAAATAACTAATAAAAGTTCAATAAAATAATTATTTAATTAGAAAAAGAATCAGGTCCAGCCAGATTACATGACTGCCAACTTACTTGGACGTTATGTGTAATTTATTAGTTTATTACAGTGTTCTGAAAGTATCATTTCACTGTACATGACTAGTAAAATAAGTATGTTTTGCAGTTCAATGATAGTGTAACCTCAGACAAATTATTTCATCTTTATGAGACTGTTTCTTCATCTGTAAAATGGGGAAAATGGTTATTTATCTGCTCAATAAAATTGGTTGCTACCATCATTATCAATAAAATTTTTTTTTGTTGGCTAAAATAAATAAATGTTTTTGTCTTGAGCCAAAGTACTCAATAAATTACTTCCTGACGAAATGATTATCCTTTTCCTTTCCTTGTACTCTCTCTCCTTTTATTTATTTATTCATTTTTTGATGACATTTTTAATATTTATGTTTGGTGGGAATTGGGAGGGAAACTCTTGAAACTGTTTTCTCCCATGATCTGAAGAACACATTCCTTTACGTTTAGGATAATGATCTGGAACTCACCAGTGCGGACTGGGACTATTCATGAGTAGTTTTCTTCCTTCTACAGAAACATACTCCAAGTAGCTACATACCTTCTTCTTATTTCTCATGACTACTTGTGTATTTAAGTCTGAGTAACTAAAAGCAGTTTGTAGGTTAGAAGGATACTATTTTGATCATATATCAGCTACGTTTTAAAAATATTATCATTTTATTATTATTAATACATTCAATCGTTATACATCATTTAGATTGTAAACAGACTTACCCAGCATATTATACACCTCAGTCCAGCCCAGTTGAGAATACTATACATGTCATCATCAACAGGTCATAAACCATATCTGTGTCCCATAAATGTCTTATCTATTTTTTTCCACAAGTTTCCTTTCCTACACTTTTCTCCTCTCCCACTCTCCTTCCACTTTGTCCCTAGTGTCTGTAACAATTTTCAATCCTTTTATGTCCTTCAGTCTTTCAGTCTCTACCATAGAGTGCAGACTGTTGGTATATGTTAAGTGGAGACATGCAGTGTCTCTCTTTCATAACCTGACTTGCTTCACTCAGCAATAAATCTTCCATATTTGTCCACTTTCTATCCAACGCCAGGGACTTGTTTTTTTGTGGCTGAATAGTATTCCATGGAGTATATGTGCCACACTTTTTTAGTCCATTCATCTGTTTGTGGACATTTGAGTTGGTTCCATGTCTTAGCTATACTTTAAGCATCTTGACTTTGGGAAGCTTAAGTCCTCCTGGTTCCTTTATTACATCTTCCAAATAGTCCTATGTATCTGTTATATTTTTAGGCAGTAGGAATGAAT